GCGGCTCCGGCGGGAACGGAGCGCGACGCGGCCGCTTCTCCCTGCAGGAATCGACTTCAAGATCCGGACCATCGAGCTGGATGGGAAGAGGATTAAGCTGCAGATCTGGTAAGAGCCTCCTGCCGGGCGGCCGCGTCGCTTCCCTCCCCGGTGCCCTGCGGCCCTTACGGTGTCTCGGACCCGCGTTTGCCGCGTTAGTGTTTCTGGAGGCTACGAGGGTGAAGTGAAATCCGCGGCGCGGCGCCGGGCGGCTCCCTGAGCCCGCGTTCTGGCCCGTTGCAGGGACACGGCGGGGCAGGAGCGGTTCCGGACCATCACCACGGCCTACTACCGCGGAGCGATGGTAGGAGCGAGCGCTCGGCGAGCGCGAGGGGGCGGCGGGGACCGCGCGTGGCTCCCTGCGGGGACGGAGACCCCGCGAGGCCGAAGGCTCCCGGCTCCTCCGGCTCCTCCCGAGGAGCCGCTGGTGCCGCGGTCGCGCTGGGACGATGCAGGGTCCTGCATGCATCCACGCTGCCTTAACTGGTCGGGCACCAGCTGGGGGTAACTTGGAGCTATTACGGGTTTTTTAATAGTCTTGAGCTTCTTTGTCATGGAAAAGTTGTTAAATTTTGCTAAAATCACTGCTAGCTGAAATAAGACACTTTTTTTTAATCTTTAGGGCATTATGCTTGTCTACGACATCACCAATGAAAAATCTTTTGAAAATATTCGGAACTGGGTCAGGAATATTGAAGAGGTAATTTCTGTCGCTAATTTGAATTGAAAAATGGTATCCCCGTTCCAGGAGCGGGTGAAAGCCAAACGCTTCAGCGTTGTTCTGGTTCTGATTCACGTCCTGCATGGTGAACTGGGGAAGGTGCAACAGAGGGGAACTGGTAACGTCTTAGAGTCATAGAATCATAGAATGCTCAAGGTTGGAAGGGACCTCTAGAGATCATCTAGTCCAACCCCCTGCATACGCAGGGACACCTAGAGCACGTGGCACAGGGCTGCGTCCAAGCGGGTTTGGAAGATCTCCAGAGAAGGAGACTCCACAATGGGAAGGAGACTCCACAATGGTCTTGGGTAATAGTAATTCATTGCGTTCAAGGGAGAGCGAGTTAGATGGACCGTGGCCTTCCTAGTGATCGGAGGAGCTAAGAGCTGTTTTCCCGGCACCACAAATGACCTAGAGAGTTGTCTCTGTGCGGAGCGGAACCGCAGCAAGCTGCTGGGATGGGGTGTTTTGGGGGAACTCAGAACTCTATTGGAAACGCTTCATATCAGGAACCTGGTTTTGCTTCGCCTTTCTGATGGTATTTGTGTACCGAGCAGCGAGCTGAGGTGCTTTCTTGTGTCTGTTTCCGTGCCAGCATGCGTCCCCAGATGTTGAAAAAATGATTCTTGGAAATAAATGTGATGCCAATGACAAAAGGCAAGTGTCGAGGGAGCAAGGGGAGAAGGTGAGTGCCGCAGCCCGGCTTCGGCCCGGCCCCGTTAGGGAGCGCTGGGAACCAGAGTCTCCTCGGAGCCCTCGGTCCCTTTGAACCCCACAGAGCCCCTCGCTGCCCCGTCCCTTTCGGAGCGGATCGAGTCTCTGCGGCGGCCGCCTGAGCAGGACTCGAGCTCTCGTTTTGAAGTCCCAGCCGATGGGATTGATCCGCAGCTTCCCAGAGCTCCGTGAAGCCCCCCGGGCTTCATCTTCATCCCTCTTACCTTGTTCTTCTACATGAAAGTTCAAATGGGTTTTACTCCTTTTGATACGCGTGTGCCCCAGCTGGAAAGGCTGCGAGCTCAGTCTGCTGCTCCACTGACAGAAAACCCGAGTTTGCATCGAGGAAAAGAGTTCTGTGTTAGTAGCCAGAGGTTTCTGTACCTAAGAAAATAGCCTGCGCTGCCTGGGAAGTGCTGCTGTTCTCTGTGATCTGATACAACTGAAGCTTTTCTTCAGTAAGACAGAAGAACAAAGCTCGGTGAGAATAGATGCTGATAGGAATGAGATTCAGCGCCTGACTTTGCAAATGGTTCTGCTTGAGGAACTCCCCAGTTCCCGGGAATCGCTCTAGGAGGGGTAGATCCAGCACAGGTGGTTGTATTTCTAGCTGTTCCCACAATTATCCATCTAACATGAACCTGTTTTTGTTCAGCTTGCTGCAAGTTTTGGAATTAAGTTTATGGAGACGAGTGCGAAAGCAAATATAAACATAGAGAATGTAAGTATGCGACCCTTCCCTCTGCTTTTGCCCTAGTACATTTGTGCAAAGAAGTAGCGAGGACACGTAGCTGGGCTGACTGGATCCAAAACTCCAGCGTTAGATAGTTATTAAATACGTCTCCTTGCATCCTGTGCCTGCATTTTCTAACAAATATTATTCTGAATGATTTGAATTGGGTGCGGTGCTTCGAGTGTAATGCAAGGGCATTTAGCCAACTATTTTATCTTTGTAAATGGCATTATCCAGTGCGTGCCAAAGGCAGCATTTTGCCACTGCAGAAAGCTTGGGTGTATCCACATGGTGGGTTCTGTCTCCTGTTAGTTTTCAGTCTCAGAAAGGCAGTAGCGGCTTTAGAAAAGATGCAGAAAAAGACAGGGAGCATTAAAAGAAGGAGCATTAAAACCTCAAGGAAAAAAAAAATGATCCAACCTTCTTCGGGAGTATGTGTAGAAGCGTGGGGAGAAGACAGCTTATTACTAAACAAAAATAAAAATATGTTTTCTTAGTCTTGTAACTTTTCACTGTTGTACTTATTCTAGGCATTTTTCACTCTTGCAAGAGATATCAAAGCAAAAATGGACAAGAAATTGGTGAGTAACTTTTACTGCCCAAGATGTATTTAAATAGAAGAGGGGAGAAAAAAAATGTTATTTTGTGTGCATGGGTGCATGTGTGTGTGTGTGTATGTATATATATATATACATACACACACACACATATATATAAATTTTGGCTGTCACTGAGTTGTTAAAATAAAATGATTAAGTCCAGTCCATGTTAGTCAAACCCAAAAGTAGCAGATTCAGAGACCTCTGGTAGTGTCTGATGTAAGATTCACTTAAATGAACGAAGATTCTTGCTCATGTCTGTGATGGTTTTTGTATAATCCTGGGCTTGCTGCAGCAAAATGGATATAGGAGAGATGCAAGAGCTTGCAGTGATGCTGGGAGCTGTTCAGTGTAAACAAGTAACTCGAAACTCTTTGAATCTTCAGGAAGGCAATAGCCCGCAAGGCAGCAACCAGGGAGTCAAAATCACACCAGACCAGCAAAAGAAAAGCAGCTTTTTCCGATGTGTTCTTCTGTGAGGGACACAGCCTTAATCTGAGCAGCTGCTCAGCTGCACTGGACTGTGCCTGTTCTGAGTGAGATTTCCTCTGTCTGTGGACTTTTCAACATACCTTGTCACTCCGTGACCATCTGAATAAGAAATCGTTTATTTTAGTAATTGTCTGACTCTTCAATTTTGGAGATGAAACAAGTTTATTTTTGTCAGATTGCCACTGGGCACATGTATTGTCTAGCAGAGGGAATACAGATCACGTGTGACCTGTAATAGCGCCTTTGCTGACAGGCTTCAACCTTTTGTTCGTATCTGTAATGTATCCCAACTAGAAAAAACAATTAAGTTATGATCAAAATAAGAAACAGAAATGCCAATGTTAATAAAGTACTGGTACGTGCACATGCTACATGTGCATACCCACGGCGACGGATGCATCAGAACATCAAATACTCTGCACTTAGGCCAGCAGGACAGGCCTGTAGCTTTCCTGAAGGTAGGAGGAAGATTTCTACATCTATGTCCCCTTTTTTGCTATTGCAGAGAAAATCCTTTATTTGTTACTTTCTCAGTTTCATTATTCTAGACAATCCACAAGTACAATTGGAGTAAAAAAGAAAAAAAAAACCCTCCTCAAAGGAACCTCTATTTTTTTAAAAAACCAAAGTGTGCTATAAATATTACAGATCTGTGTAATTGGGAATTACTTTCCTCATATTAGAGATGACCATGGTTAATTAAATAATCCAGGCATTTAGGCAGGAGATACCTACAGCCTACTCCCATGCAAGTGGCCTGCTTTTAGACAAGGAGGCCGTGGTTTGGACGTGGAGCTTTCCTCAAATTCATCCCGTCAGTGGGCAGCTCTTCCTTCTCCAGCTGAGAATGTCATGATGTGGTGACTAGTTATGACTTGCGACAAGAAGATGTATTGCACTGCTTCCCGTTGTGTGTTCCCATGCACACTTGCTCACATATGCAAATAAATGTTGCACATTTGAACACTTTCTGAAAACAACCTTTTTGAAGCGGAGATTTGCCGTGCTGCCCTCCGGTGATCATTTTGGATTTCAAGCAGCAGCGAACCTCTTGGTGTGCATCACTGCAGATGATGTTTAGTCCTCAGCGAAAATACTTTGTGTATTTATTCTTCTAAACACAGTCTACTACATTCCAATGTATAAAATGAAAAAGCCTAGTGAAGCTCCTAGGTAGCTGGTTGCTCTCAGTTCAGCAGCCTGACAGTAATTAGACTGATGAAAAGAGCCAGTAAGAGCAATCTACTTAGAAGTGTGATGTCAAATAATGGAAAAAATGGTATATTTAATCCAAATGAACATATCAGCTGTGTCCTGCAACTCACTGGAATTGTTAACGTGCTTTGTTTACATTGACAACTGCACTTAAGGGTAAAATTAAAGCTCATTTTAAAGCTAAAGAATTTACTCACCAGTTTTGTTTTCTTCAAGTTTGTGCTATTATTTCTGGCCTCATAGTAGCAGTGTTAAGTGCTACAGTAATTAAAGATCTATCAGATTTACGATTAATCTTTAGAAACCCTCAGCATGCAATTGGGCTCAACAGGAATATTGTCTGTTTTTCTAAAATCAAATACAAAAAGACAATTGTGCAACTTAACTGGTTTATAAAAATGCATTTTATATGCCACCACTTTTTTTAAAAAAAAGCTAACAGATTACCATGAGCTCTGATCATTTTTAAAAACATAAAACGTTCCAGGACCTCATGATGGTCGGGTTTTGTTTTTTTCCTCAGTGAACACAAGCCCCAGTGAATTACATGTAGATGTATTTGTAAGATAAAACCCTCGTGTTGCTGCTGAGGAGCCTTCTAGTCAGTATGTGCTTAGAAGTGTAGTTAACAGTGGTAAACTACACAAGCAATATTGCCTCGGGATAAGGATGCTTTTTGAAAGACTGCGTATGCTTCAAGCAATTGTTGGGGTGGAATTGGGTCTGAATGTTGTGTCCCTACATAAAATGGATATGTTTGATTTGCTTTGGGCTTAGCAGTAAATCTGAATTGTCTCACATCCATCTCCCTTTTACCTGAATGCAGCCAGACGTTGCAGTCAGTCTAGTTCTTCCAAAGTGACTGGAAAAAAGTGGTTAGTCTGAGGCTGATATCACTGCTGCCCACTGTGATACTGGCTGTTTATTGACAGCATCTAAATCAGTAATTTGTCTAGAGAGGAGAGAGAAAGACTGTTAATTCACAGATGGGAAGGATATGAAGGATGGCATTAAGCTTTTCCAGTTCCCATTTTCTAAATTTTAAGTTACTCTTTTGCATTAAAGGTTAGCTCTTTGTGAATACCTTTTTTCTTAAAGTTATGCTGATTGTTGCACATCTTTGCCTAATTTATAGCATGATTTTCTTTACAAAACAAACTGAATGAACAACTACATTATTGCCCAATCTCAGGAAATTTTATGCAGTCACTGTGACCTACTGTCATCACTGTATTTCTAGGTTCTGCAGATTCTACATAGAAATTAAATCAATGTAAGCAATTTTAAAACTAAAATGCAAACATAGGACAGGAATGCTTGGCCGTGCGTCTCTAAATACTGACATCAGATCTCGGATGAGTAGAATATGTAGTTGATGCTTCTATCACATAATGAAATTATGGTGTTTTTTCAAGTCTGACTACCATTAAAACAATGCCCAGAAGAGGTACTGTGTGGCTCAATAACAGTAATGTATACACTTGTAAGCGCTTTTTTAACTGAGGAGGGAAACATTTGAAACAGAATACAAAATCTGTAAAACTGAATAACTTTGATCAGAAAAGCTAACAGTGCGTTTGCTACACATTCCTGGTGTCTAAATACCACTAAAATGTAAGTAATCCATTAACAACTGATGCTTGGTTTGTAGAGGAACAAACTTACTTTTGAGCGAGTTCTCAAATTCCCCATATTTTAACGAGCGTCACGGAATTCTGTGGTTGACCTCATTTTTGAGGCTGCTTGCAGTGTTCCAGATAGTCTTCAACCTTCTTGGAGCAGACCTGTCAGTACTGACCTGTCAGCGAAGGGTGGAACTGCCGTTTTCACCCTTTGCCATTTTACCACTTCTGTTGTCTAGTTCCTGTGCTGATAGGCACATCTAATATTTCCTGACATCAGAGCCTTACACCAGCATCAGACTTTCAGCCTCAGATTTATAAATCCTATGGATTATTGTAAGTCTCCTTATTGCTACTGAAAATTATTTGATCTCTCCTTTCATATGGGATGCTGATCATCTTGCTGACAATAGCTAAGGGTTTTTTTTGTGGTGGTTGTGTCCTTGGCTCCTGCTCAAAAGCTACAGTGATTTCTTGTCCTCTCGGCCATGAAATGCTGGGAGGAAATGGGCAAGTAGCTGCTTACACAGGAGTTCCCATTTGTGCTGGAAGTCCATAGGGGATGGAGAAGAATGATGGCTATCCTATGTCTTCATAAAAATCGGTTCAATTGAACATGGATGGTAATGTGCAGTCTGATTATTTCAGGCTGCCTTAATCTTTGCCCTCTTTCGTTTACTTGTTATTGGAGATTTTTTGGTTTCTGTAGCTAATACAGCTATTTAGTAGGCTAGTCTCCCTAGCCTTTCCCTAGCAGGAGTTACCAGTTCTAAGGTGAGTGTAAATTGGGAGTCATCATGATTTGTTTCAAGAAAAAATCATGTATCCTAGAATAAACTTTTTAAAGTCTTTTAGCTGCCACCCTTTCCACATTACAGCTGCTTTCTTAAGTGCTTCTCAATGGTTTTCATGTTTGTATTAAAAGCAAAATTGTTGTTTATTACAGTATATGTATATTTTTACTCTGCTGTACAGGTCCCTGAGCACTGCATAAATAAACTTCTTATGAAAAGATAAATTTAAAAGAACCTTTTTTATTTTTTAGTTTGTCAGTGCCATTCATCATTCATAGATGATATATAGATTCTTGTGTTAAAAATACATATTTTCCGAATATAGTTTTAGTCTGTAGCGCGGGGTGGGAGGTGTTTTAACTAATAAGGTGTTTTATTACAAATTTTTGGAAGGTATAATTTGAGTTATATACAAGTTTCTCTAATATCTGATAATACCTGAACTTTAAAAACTATTTACCTTATCACTGTCAAAGTTGGATGTATTCTAGCTGGAGGAGGCGAGAGAAACAGACAATTCTGTGGAAACATACACATTTTGCTAAATTACAGGGAAATTCTTGACAAAGAGTATGCTAAATCATTCCTTTGAAAGCAGTAAAAAACAGTCAAAGTTTTCTGTCTAGTTCACCTAAAATTGTCCTCTGGTGCTGTCATTTTCTTCTCTCATGGGCGGTAAGCTCCAGTGGAACAAGGTTGTTGTAGGCTCAAGAAGGACTTCATCTCTGCATTTCACTCGTTTCAGATTCGAATGTGAAATGTACTATTAAAACAAACAAACAAAAAGTAATGATCATGTATGTATAACTGTATTTGAAGGACTTCACTAGAATTAATATGAGGACAGCATACTGTATTAATACTAGGACAGGCTCAAAAAAACAAGTTACAGAAGCCCGCACACTTTTTCAAGTATCTGTTTTTTCTGTCTTTGTGGTGGGCACAATTACTGGAAAATGCCAGGAAACGGTGGTGATCTCCAAGGTCTGGAGAGATTTTAACACATTGGAAACTTCTGATAGAAATGAGCAGGAGCAGTTTCATGATACAAAATGAGATATTACCAGTACAGGCTGGGGATCGACCTTCTGGACAGCAGCTCTGCAGAGAAGGACCTGGGTGTCGTGGTGGGTGACAAGGTGACCATGAGGCAGCAGTTGCCCTCGTGGCCAAGAAGGCCAATGGGATCCTGGGGTGCGTTAAGAGCAGCATCTCCAGCAGGTCGAGGGAGGGGATCCTGCCCATCTGCTCAGCCTTGGTGAGGCCACATCTGCAGTATTGTGTCCACATCTGGAGTATTGTGTCCAGTTCTGGGATCCACAGGACAAGAGGGATGTGGAGCTGCTGGAGAGAGTCCAGCGCAGGGCTACAAGGATATCAGGGGCCTGGAACATCTGCCCTATGAGGAGAGGCTGAGGGAGCTGGGCCTGTTCAGCTGGAGAAGAGAAGGCTGAGAGGGACCTGAGCAGTGTCTAGAAGTACCTCAAGGGAGGCCGTGAGGAGGATGGTGCTGGCCTCTTTTCACTGGTGGCCACCGATTGAACTAGAGGAAATGGCCACAAACTGAAGCACCAAAAGTTCCGCAGGAACTTAAGGAAAAATTTCTTGACAGTGAGGGTGCCAGAGCACTGGAACAGGCTGCCCAGAGAGGTTGTGGAGTCTCCTTCTCTGGAGATCTTCAAACCCGCTTGGACGCAGCCCTGTGCCACGTGCTCTAGGTGACCCTGCGTGTGCAGGGGGTTGGACTAGGTGACCTCGAGAGGTCCCTTCCAACCTTAACCATTCTATGATTCTATGATTACCTGAGAAAATCAGGAGCTCGTATTATCATGTGCTGAAAGTCTTCCAGAGAGAGTTTGCCGTCGTTGTCCAGATCTGCTTCATCAATGACCTTGTTGCACGCAAGGGTGACTTCTTCTGGGGTAAGCTCATTTCGGGTCAACTTGTTCACTGTTTTCTCCAGATCTGATTTGCATATGTAATCATCATTGTTAAAATCTGATGAAGCAAAACAAATTCAAAGTGACAAAGTCAGTATTTTATGCAGTTGGTTGCGAAGGCACAATGGGAAGCGTTTGGTTAGCAGGTTATAATGCATTTATACAAACAGTGTTTTCAAATCAGAAATGAAAAGTGCTGCAGTTATCTGTATTGGCTTGTATAAACATTCAGTAACAAAATAACAAGCCACGAGCCCTGGATTTTTATCTCACATAAGGATATCAATTGTAAATAGCTAAGTGCCTAAACTTGGCTTAATGGTCTAGCCATAATTAAAATATTCTAGCAAATTAGTACCACTAAACAAAATGCAAGGAGCAGAATGAAGTTAAAAGAAGGGTATAGAGTGTTCAGCCTGGCGGAGTTCACTTTTTCAATATTTCTTTTTCACAGCTTAAATCACAGTTGCTTTTTCTTTTTTTCTTTTTTTGGTATATGTCATTAATATGTTGCTTGGCTTTGGCTGATCACTAAGGAAGTAACTGAAAGTGGTATTGTCAAGAAAGAAGAAATTAATCTTTAAAATCGCCCTTGGGGAAAATTGCTAAAAGTATGTTTTTGGGGTTTTTTTTGTTCAAAAAAACCCTACAAATTTATGGGCAGCCAAATCCCTTGTGCTGCACTTTTCCAAGCAGTCTCTAACGTGGAAGAAATATTTCTTAAAGGTTTATCAGGTCTTGAAAAGTACAAATAATCTCAGGCTGTAAATCCTCTAGTAAATCCTAAGTGCTAACCAGTATAACTTCAGAGACAAAAGAATACAGAGGCCCAGAAGTTTCTAGGGCAATGGGCAGTCAAAGGCAACAGATAGAAAGACTGGATTAAGAAGATCCCTGTCTAAAGATATTGATATTTTGGATTCCTACATGCAGCTGCAGGATTTCCCGAAACTTCGCGTTTTATGCCTGTCTCACTCACCATAAATTTTAAAAGCATAATATGCTTTCAAGTCTCTAGGAGCCATTTCACTCATCACTGAAAACATGTCCAAAAAATCATCCAAAGTCATGTTGCCTTCTCCATCCTCTGAGAAAACCTCTGCTATCCGTTGGCGGAATGGATTGTCCTGGGAAACAGAACACGGGAGCAAGGGAAGGTCACCTTTACTAGTATTTATTTCTGTGCAGATAAAACACAATTGGAGCAAGATTATTTTCGTTATAACTCCCTCTTGGCAGTCAAATATTCCCTTTGCTGCTATTATTTTTCTGTCTAGTGTTGTCTTAGAAGTAGACACAGCTGCAGCCCTCTTTAACCTTTGCACAATTTCAGTGATTTTTCCAAAGGAAATCACTAGAAGCTTCCAGAAAGTCTTTGACTTTAGTTGCCAAAATTTATTTGTATTTCAGCCTCTCAGCAATTAGTACTGGATGAATTATTTAAAAAAGGGTATATTAAACTGAAATGTGTCACTTGATTCTCCTTGTGTTCCTTGCACTGTACCTTCAGCTCTGGCATGCTGCCAATGAGTTCATAGGGAAGTGTCACATCTGGTTTATCTGTGTAGTCAAGTGGAACTAGCTGTGGGGCTAGATCTCGGTATCTGTAAAACAATCTGAAATAGAAAGAAAGACTCATTTAGGAAACAAGTTATTTAGAGCTCTAAGAACAGTGTTTGCTTTTTTTATTTCGTTTTTCATACTTGGCATCCTCTACCAGATGGATGGTGTCAGTCACTAAATATCATTTAATACGCTCTCTAGCTGATGGTGGAAGAAACAGTCTTGGGTTTTTTTTCCCCTCCAAGGTTTCAGATTTACTTCAATAGCGCAGATGATATAGAAGCATGTAGTGTATTTATGATATATTTATGATAACAAGGCACAAGATCTTCAGCCTAAAGGTCCACCTAATCAGTTTTCAAATGCATTAAAAGTTGTTGTAAGGCAGGAGGGATCTGGTTTCCAAGTCAACAACAAATGTGACTAGAAATAATTGGCTTATATTGCCCCACAAAAGATTTGGTTTAAATGTCACCAAAAAAATCTGGAGCTCTAAAGCCAGAGAGATTATTTAGCTCTTGAATATGGGACCAACTCTAGGTTGTTTAATACCCATCCCAAATATTTTTCTGCTTCTTTGCCCACAACTATATTCAGGAGACAGAAAATATACACTAAATCATTTGGACATTTTTATTACTTTTCATGCTATTTGCCTAAGTTCTTCAGCTAGGCTAGGGATCCTGTTCACGGCTGTTGTCAACAAACAATAGCATAGAATGTTAAAAGGGATCCTTATCAATAATAAATATCTTATTCATGACACAGTTATGGTTCTGGCCTCTATTTCTACATGGAAAGGCAGACAGCTTTATATTTCACTCATTACAGAATCATTTATATTTTATTCTGAACTGAATTCAGGTACAGATACCAAGGTTCTAACCAGGGATGTGTTCCATATAAAACTGTCGGTTGTGCTCTGCTTTTCAAAGAAATCAGCCAATAATACACAACGACCTCTTCAGAAATGCAGAAACTGAGCATTTACTTTTCTGTTAATTTGCCTGATGGTTAGCAAAGGAAAAGCAACTTTGTTTTCGTGCATGTTGCTATCTGTGAAAGCACCATTCACAACTGGAGGAGAACAAGTTTTCAATGAAGATTTTCAATCCCACATTAACAGAGTATAGGAACACATCTTTATTGATTCTTTTGGACAGATTAAATGGACTAGTCTATGAAGTCAGGGGAAAATGCACCTTAAAGTATCACAAGGGTTTTTTTGGTACTATTTACATACAAAATGGAAAAAAAAATCTGAATAAAAGTGATACAGACTTTACCATTTTAAAAAATAGACAAAATATCCCAAACAATACCAGTATTGAAACACCACTTTGTAACATATGTTATAAAACAAAGTGAGGGGAACATGAATGTCGCCGTCAAAGTGTGCACTGAAACATAACTTGTCACATTTACGTCAGACGGAGAGACTGGCACCTTAATAGAAAATTTAGATTTGGCTCAGTTTGTGACAGATTATGTAGTTTCTTTATATAAAAGAAAGCAGTGACAGTGCTCAGATTGTCCAAAGGTATGTGAGTGATTCTGTAAACTATCACATTGTTTTTCAATAAATTCAATTTAATTTTTTTAATCACCTGGTATGTAGCAATTCCTGTACTTTGCCCACAAAATATCACACAGAAGACTCACCTCAGAATTTCTTTCCTTGTAAAGAATGTGCAGTCCTGTGAATTAGAAAAGACACAATATGTCATGGCAGTTTTAAATGCATTGGCCCAAATTTTTCTAGTACAATGACTTAAAAACTTATTATTACACAAGCAGACAAGCATTTTTTTTGGCATATAATAATGATTATATATAATATTGATTATTTCATAAGCCTTCTTCCTCCTGAGGTAAGAACTAAAGTATGTTATTTAAACTTTTGATGTTACTTAATACTTATCCTTCACGATTTCTAAAAAGGCAGTTTTAAAAACATTTGCCCTTATTCAACAGTCTGTCTAAACATGCATTTCGTTTGGCCAGGTTCTATACCTGATATGCATCCAGTTGCTCTGGGGTGAAAATGGTTTGTTTGTTGCCCATTTCTGGCCCCGGGTGCTGACTCCTGTCCCATCATTCTTTCCTCAAAGTTACCTTTATAGGAGGGCTGGATATTCCAATATTAAAAGCTGCAACAATGAGGTTCAGGTAGCAGAGGATCAGGTAACCAGCCTCCCCATTGCATGGGCTGCAAAGAGTCATAATAGCCGCATTTCATCAAATCTTTAGTCTGGCTACTTAAGGCTCTTCTCCAGCATCACTCACCTGTCTCCTCTGTGCACAACACAGACTCATATTACAGTATTTCACCAAACAACTAATAGCTTCTTGTTTGCCTCTTTGAAGAAGTAGGTAGACTTCATACGCAGTTTTTTTTTTTTTTTACTCTTTCAAATATTTTGAATTATCTAAAAACTGTTTGGCAGCTCTTTCTTAAGAATTAACATTAAATGCTAGAAATAAGTAATAAGGAAAGTAACCCCCTTGCCCTTTCTCTCTGAATTTTCTGGGTGATATATATTGTGCACTGCCACCAACAGCACATGCTACTTCGCACTGGAGATAGTATCTAAAAAGTCACTCTCAGTCATTCTATTCTGCATTATTTAGCACTATACGTTATTATAAGCTAATGATTATCAGTGTGACATGCATACATATACACATATATGGTTTTCAAACTAAAATCCATGTGAATATATGATTTGTCTGTAAGATCTTGAATGTGATGTTAAAGGTTACATGGAATGCGGTGTATGAAAACTGAAATGTGCTGTAGAAGGTTACATGAAACACAAATCGGGAGAGAAGGACTGGCTGCATGTCCGCAGCACGGGGCAGGCTCAGTGTCCAAGGGGTCGATGTCGAGATTCTTGCCCATTCGTCCCTTAAATCGGCAGCTTTAGTGACCGACGAAGCCCCGACGCCTGGTTCGGAGGCAGCATCTGTGAGGCGGAGACCACGGGTAGGCAGAACGGTTCCCCTGGGGAAGAACCGCCGGCTTGCCTCACCGTCCGGCCTTAAAACAAGTAGAAATCATTCAGAATTGGTGTTTTCGGCGTGTAGAAATGGGCGGGAGCGGCTATTTCGCTCGGCGCGGCGGCTCCTCGCGCTCTTTCCCCTCACGAGCGGCGGGGGGGGCGGCTCGCGGC